GTAGCTACCGCGGCGGGGGTTGTCTAAACGACTCATTAGGAGCTCTCTTATCCACCTCTTGATCACGGCATATCACCTCCGCAATGATCCTGTCCAACTCTGACCTGGTCATCTGGATGACCGGGTCCTCCCGTGGTGCCGAAGAAACATTGTCCCCTGGAGGGTTTTATGCTCCCACCTCGACCAACTGCCTACCACCGAGGGCACCGTTCTGATCACCAGTACCTCCGGATCCCATGGCTCTTTGATCCAACCCCCCCGTCGACCGTGGCGCCAACCTCCTTCCCCTTGTCTGTCCAACCACCCGATCCTCCCGTGTTCGCCGCACGCCCCTGGGCTTCTGACGGTGGTATCGGGGTCGCGCCCGAGCCCAACAGTGTCTCTTTGGGGGTAACAGGCGATGGTGACATCCCTGGCGGGGGACCTGTCCCGAAGGCCCTCCGAGCCCACTCTTCATCCATCTCTTTAGTCAAGTTCCTCTTCGAATTATCTCCTGCCATGACTTCTATCGTTCTTCTTTTGTAGTGAGAAAAAACAGCCCTTAAAACTCCGGTAGAAGACTGAGTTTTCCCACAGACAGCGCCAATTTTTTATACCACAAATACTTGAACCGCTGGACCGCTCCTCTTGAACTGGGTTACGTCTCCTTGATCGTCGGTACCTGCAAAGCACGCCGGGGGTGGTCCCGGCACGAACACTCTGACGCTCAAGTCTGTGATGGCCTAGAGAGAAAATGGTAGAGTAACGAGATAACTCGTGTATGTGTGTTGTTTAAAATGAATGAACCTGCTCATTTTATAGGAGAAATTTGGAGAGTCCCAGTGGGATAAGAAGTCTTCTTCTTATAAAACACTTAATTAGGTTAAATTTCTTCTGAATCCCGAGAGTCCTTGTTGCTATTAACTCCTTCGTAACTTGATCACAAAGCCACCTTCAGGTTCTAACCTCCTCGACAGTACACGATGGCCACCGAGCGCACGAGGGCCGTCGGACACCTCCCAAGATCGAGCCCTGCCGAACACCATCCAAGTTCGAGCCCCTCGTGCCGAACATGCGTCACCAAGAGCCTTGCGCCGGGCACTCCCACTGAGAACCTAGCATCGGGTACTCCACATGTCGGGCACCACTTACGCTGGCACTCCTCATGCCGGACACTTACCCCATACCGAACATTCACCACTTGCCGGGCACTCACCCAACCACCCGACTACCACAATGCCTAGCCGGTCCTCTTCATAAGGCAGTGATGACCGGATCACAACCGGTTCCTCATGAGCCGCTACTAACGACCATATCACAACCTACACCGATAGTCATGTCCATAACTATCTCAGTTGTGAATACCATTTATATCTTATAAGGGACCGACAATGTAATCTTCTGTGTGACTACTAACACACCACATTTTCTACAATATAAGATAATTGGACATTTAGCATACAAGCAATCATAAAGAATGCATCAATGTGAAAACTTTTATTTCAGTCAAATTGAGAAATCGAATAAATACAATCTAAAAGCTCACATAAAAGTTTGTTTTACTGTATACCCCAACACTGGGCACATCAAGGAGATTGAATTCCCAGCAGGGTTATCAAACACAGTGATGGTGTCAAAGGCGGAGGGGAAATGGAGAATGTGCATTGACTTTCGTGATCTGAACAAAGCATGCCCGAAGGATTTGTACCCATTACCCTGAATCGACCAGCTGGTCGACTCAACGGCAGGGTGTGAGTTGTTGAGCTTAATGGATGCCTCCCAGGGGTATCACCAAATTCCCTTGGCGAGAGAAGATAGAAAGCGGGTGCGTTTCGTAACAAGTCGAGGAACCTATTGTTACGTGGTGATGTCGTTCGGCCTGATAAATGCAGGCTCTACGTATCAAAGGTTGGTCGACAAAATTTTTAAAGAACAAGTGGGGAGGATAATGGAAGTATATGTGGATGATATGTTGGTGAAAAGTAAGGAGGATATAGATCATGTGCGGGACTTAAAAGAAAAGTTCTTAACATTGAGGAGGTATGGGATGAAGTTGAATCCAACCAAGTGCTCTTTCGGGGTAAAGTCAGGAAAATTCTTGGGTTACCTGGTGACCAAGAGAGGTATTGAGGTGAATCCGGAGAAGGTGCGGGCAGTGATAGAGATGAAGTCCCCAACGAATGTTAAGGAGGTGCAAATCTTGGCTAGTCGAATTGCGGGGCTGAGCCGTTTCATATCAAAGGTAGCGGAAAGGAGTGGTCCGTTATTTAAAACGTTGAAGAAGAGTGTGAAGTTCCAATGGACAGAGGAGGCTCAAAGGGCATTTGAGAAGTTACAAGGAGTGTTAGCCAACCTTTCTTTGTTGGCCAAACCGGTACAAGTTGAGGATTTAGTGTTGTAAATTTCTATCGGGGAGAGGGCTGTGAGTTCGGTGTAGTTGCGAGAGGAATGGGTAGCACCGTTCCCTATCTATTACGTGAGCAGGGTGATGCAGGGAGCGGAGATGAGGTACTCGGAGATTGAGAAGTGTGCTCTGACGGTAGTTGTGACTCCTCAAAAGCTGAGGCCTTATTTCTTGAATCATAAGGTGAAGGTGAGAATGAACATGCCATTTGGAGAAATGCTTGGCCGACCATCGTTTTCTAGCCGATTGGTGAAATGGGAGGTCGAGCTGAGTGAATACTCGTTGTTTTATGAGCCGAGGAGGGCTATAAAAGCGTAGGTGTTAGCAGATTTTATTCAGGAAGGCACGAGGGTCGAGGAGGAGTCTGAAGGAGTATGGCAGTTGTTCGTGGATGGATCGATGGCGAGAAGTGGGGCCGAATTAGGAATTGTCCTTGTCTCTCCTAGGGGTGATTACTTGGATTTCGCAGCCAAAGTGGGCTTTAGGATATCCAATAACGAAGCTGAGTATGAGGCGGTGATCAAAGGTTTGCTGTTGGCCATGGCTAGAGGAGCCCGAAAGATGCAAGTGCATTTTAATTCTCAATTGGTGGTGGGGCAGTTTCAGGAAGGGTTTGAAGTTAAGGAGGACCGAATGCAGAAGTATGTGGACGAAATGAAGAAGTTGAAAGAGGAGATTGACTCATTGGAGCTAATACCGATCCCTCGAGGAGAGAATGGTCGAGCAGACTTGTTGTCGAAAATTGCTCAAAGCTTGGTGGATTGTAAAAGTAGGAGTGTGACTCTATTACATTTAGAGAGAAGTGTGGTCGAGGCGAAAGTGGTGGTGATTGAGGAAGTGAAGGATTGGAGGGCCCCGATCTTAGAGGAGTTGAAGGAGAGGACGATAAAGGTAGTAAGAAGATTTTTTGAGCACGAAGGCATTCTCTACAGGCGGTCATACGCTGGACCGCATTTACGCTATGTGACTAAGGAAGAGGGTCAATATGTGCCGAGAGAAGTGCACGAAGGATGTTGTAGTGACCACAACAAGTCGGGGGCCTTGGTCGCAAAAATTCTGAGAGCGGGATACTTTTCGCCGACGATGAAGAAGGATGCGAAGGTGATGGTGAGGAAATGTTTACAATGCCAGAAGCATGTCCCGCTTATCCGTCATCCGACAGAGGCGATGACAACGATGAGTGCCCATATACCATTTTTCCAGTAGGGAATCGACCTGTTGAGGCCGATGCTACAAGAAACTGGGCAGAGAAAATTCTTGATCGTGGCGGTAGACTATTTCACGAAGTGGGTAGAGGCCGAGCCCTTGGCAAAGATCACAGAGGAGAAAGTCATCAATTTTTTATATAACAATATTTGCTGCAGGTTTGGCGTGCCCAAAGTCTTGATATCCGACAATGGAACTCAGTTCAATGGCAAGCGAATTCGAGCATGGTGGATATGAAGATCGAGCAACACTTGGCCTCTGTTGCTCATCCGCAAGCCAATGGCCAAGTCGAGGTGACCAACCAAATTATACTAAACAGGCTGAAAACAAGGCTGGAAAAGGCCTCGAGGGCGTGGGTCGACGAGCTAACTTCAGTAGTGGTATGGGATATTATATACACAAGGCTAAACCGGTTTGCTCAGCCGGTCGAGAAGGTCAAGCCAAGAAGAAGCCAAGCCAAAAGGCGGGAGGATCGAACATTCAGATAATCGATCAGGCAAGTAGTTGACCAATCCATCGCTCGACAGAGAAGCGATCGAGCAATATATTCGACCTCATCAGTTCGATCGCCTCGAGGGTCTGACAGTCGGCCTAGTCACAGGCGCGTGTGGGAACCTCTAGCCGAATCTTAGGAGAATATTTACCCCATGTGCAGGGGGACACGTGTCGAGAATGCATTGGTGGATATCGATAACCACCTCTGACAGCTCCCAACGCCCTGCGCCACCTCTGACATGTGCACGGCGTGTCAGAGTATGGACAGGCAGCTTAGGCAGCCAGCTCATCCTTATCCGGGCAGCTATTAGGGCAGGTATCTGACCCCTATATAAAGGGGGGTGAGCCTTTTTCCCTCAACACATTCTATTCATTCTTCACTTTAGTATATTCATACACATACTGACTTAAGCATCGGAGGCTCTTCACCTGACACAACCCCTGGTGTGAGAGTTACTTGTAGGTTTCCGGCGTTCTACCGACGTGGATAAAGATCGATCCGTTCCAAACCGGACCAGGATGCTCACACTTGCATTATTGGCGTAGTCTGTGGGGACCGTTTGTTCTAAAAGTTGTGTTTGAAGCTCAGCTATGGCGGACGGAGTTCCCAGAACCAACTTGCAGTCGACGTTCGATGACGCTTGGACGATGACCAGGCCGATTGGACAAGTCCCTTCTCCGAGTTTCTCTGGCCCTTCGCAAACGCCAGTCACTCCCATACCCGTCCTTCAGGGTGTGGGAGCATCGACGGCGATCCCTGGAGGAGACACCAGATCCAGTCGCGCCCAGGAAGCTCGCGCAGCAGCCGCGGCGGCGATGCCACCGCCGCCACCACCAAATCCAGCACTAGTGCAAGGAGGCAGTTGTACAAGCACCCGGTCAGCAAGTGGTGACGATGACCCGGGAGGATATGCAGAGGATAACGGCAGCCGCAGCGGCGCAGGCGGTGCAGCAAGTTACGAGCCACACATCTCATGCCACCACTGCGCCGGCCACGGTGGCCAGAAACCAAGACGAGGATGTATCCAGTTATGGAGAGGGAGGAGTTGGAAGAGATCGGGCGATGGAGAGGATGGCGGAGCAGTTGCGCCAGTTACAGGACAAGTTGGAGGGGAGGCCGGAGAGGAGAGCTCAAGGACATCCCTTTTCAAGGGAGATTCTCGTTGCTCCATTGCCGAATAATTTCAAGGAGACTAACTTGGTATATGACGGGTCTTCTGACCCGTCAAGGCATGTGAGGACCTTTGAGAATATGGCTGTGTTGCATGAATAGTCTGATCCTGTTTGTTGCAGGGTGTTTCTATCGACCTTGCGCGGAGGAGCACTTGACTCGATATAATCAGAGCACGGTGGCGCATGAGAAAACTTACCAATATTCGAGCGCGGTTTCATCAGTTACCCTCGGGGTCGATTGCAGATTTTGAGGATTTTGCCAGGAAGCTTACAAATATTCAAGCGCGGTGGCGCATGAGAAAACGTACTTGACGTTGATGGCAATGAGACAGGGGGAGAAGGAGTCATTGAGGAAGTATGTTGCTCGATATAATCAGACATGTTTGGAGGTGCACTCGACCTCAGATGAGGTGAAGGTGGGAGCATTGATAAGAAGTCTTCGAGCAGGGCCTTGCCGAACTTCCCTAGCAACGACCCCTGCTCGATCATATGAGGAGGTTTTGAAGCGTTGCAGGAAGTATATTAATTTGGAGGAAATGGAGGTAGAGTTCGCAAAGTTGGAGGGGTCGGCTCGACCAAAACTAAAAAAGGAGCAAAGCCCACCAAGAGGAAGGTCCCCGAGGAGGAGTTCGCCCAAGAGGAGTGGGTCGAAAAAGATATCACCGAGGTGGGAAGGTCGAGATTCGAAGCGAGGGAAGAGGGACGATAGGTGGCAGGGAAGGCCATTGTTGTTCGAGAGACAAAAGGTATCATAATTTTACACCCTTGAGGAAAGATTTAGCAGAGGTGCTCGAGGCTATGTAGCAAAAGATGTCGACTGAGGATGTGACGTGGCCGAAGACAAGGTTCACAGGCCCGACTCGACCCTGGTCAGATATATATTGTTGATTTCACTGAGATTACGGCCATACCACGGAGAACTACAGGCACTTGAAGGATGAGATTGAAAGGTTGATTCGAGCAGGACATTTGAAAGAGTTTGTGTATCATGATAGGGCGAAAGGGAAAGGAAGGAGAAGGTGTCAGGATGATTCGGAGGAAAGGAGTGATAGGGATGAAGAAGGATACGATGGAGAGGGCCAAGGTGGTCGAGGAAAGAGGCCGAGGAGAGATGGAGATAAAGGGGGCCAGGGTGGAGAAGCCTTGATGAAGAGAGGGACAATTTACATGCTTTCCGGAGGGCCAACGAATGGCGACTCGAATAGGGCCAGGAAGGAGCATGCTCGAGCTGTGAAGAGGAAAAGAGAGAAGGTGGGGATTACGGCTCGTATACCGGTGATAAGTTTTAAGGCGGAGGTTGCAAGCTTTGACGTGAAGAGGGTGTTTATCGATACTGGGAGTTCGGTAGACGTGATGTTTTATGACTGTTTTATGCAAATTAACAAGGAGTTGAATATGGAGTTGAAACTGCTGACCACGTCACATTATGGTTTTAATGGAGGAGAGGTGATGTCGATGGGCGAGATAAGCTTGCCAGTGGCATTGGGAGCAGGAGATCTGAGGAAGGTGCGCATGGTGAGGTTTGTGGTCGTAGGGGCTGAATCATCTTATAACATCATTATGGGGCGGACGAGCTTGAATGCGTTCCAGGCGGTCGTATCCACGTACCACCTGACGATCAAGTATCCTGTGGGCGAAAACGTAGGGGAGATTGTCGGGGATCAACTCACTTCGAGGAGCTGCTATCAAACAACAGTGAGCAATAACAAGCAACTGGCGAGGAGGCAGGCCAAGTCGAAGGTGGAGGAGATTAGTCGACCAGGGGGGTCGAGGACAAAAAAGGATAAACAGAGAATGGAGAAGGTAAAGAGAAAATAGATATCCAGCCAGGAGGAGAAGTTGAGAAGATCCAGATGATCGAGGGGTGCGAGGAGAGGAAATTCAGAATTGGGAAGGACTTGGAGGAGCCCATTCGGTTGAGGCTGATCGATCTAGTTAGGGAGTTCGTTGACGTTTTTGCTTATACAGCGGAGGAGTTGACGGGGATAAGTGCGGAGGTGATCGAACATCGATTGAACATCGACCACAGTGTGAGGCCGGTGAAACAGAAAAGAAGGCACCATGGGGCGGAGATGGACAAGATCATTTAGAGGGAGGTCGAGAAGCTTTTGGGAACGGGACGTATCAAGGAGATCCAGTTCCCCGAGTGGTTGTCGAATACAGTAATGGTGTCGAAGACGGAGGGAAAATGGAGGATGTGCATTGATTTCCGTGATCTGAACAAAGCATGCCCAAAGGACTTATACCCACTGCCCAGAATCGACCAGTTGGTCGACTCAACGGTGGGGTGCGAACTGTTGAGCCTGATGGATGCCTCCCAGGGATATCATCAAATTCCCTTGGCGAGAGAAGACAAGAAGCGGGTGAGTTTTGTAATGAGTCGGTGAACCTATTGTTACGTAGTGATGCCGTTCGGCCTGAAAAATGCTGGGGCCACGTATCAAAGGCTGGTCGATAAACTCTTTAAGGAGCAACTTGGGAGGAAAATTGAGGTATATGTGGACGATATGTTGGTAAAAAGCAACGAGGAGATGGATCATGTGCGGGACTTAAAGGAAACATTTATGACTTTGAGGAGGTACGAGATGAAGCTGAATCCGGCTAAATGCTCGCTCTGGGTGAAGTCAGGGAAATTCTTGGGTTACTTGGTAACCAAGAGGGGTATTAAAGTGAATCCCGAGAAGGTTCGAGCCGTGATGGAGATGAAGCCGCCAACGAATGTTAAAGAAGTGCAGATCTTAGCTGGCCGCATTGCAGGGCTGAGTCGTTTCATATCGAAGGTGGCAGAGAAAAGTGGCCCATTATTCAAAACGCTGAAGAAGAGTGCGAAATTTCAATGGACGGAGGAGGCGCAGAAGGCATTTGAGGAGTTGCGAGGGGTGTTAGCCAACCTTCCCTTATTGGCTAAACCTGTACACGGCGAGGAGCTGGTGCTATACATTTCTATTGGAGAAAGGGCTGTGAGTTCGGTGTTATTACGGGAGGAAGGGGTAGCGCAATTTCCTATCTATTACGTGAGTAGTGTGATGCAGGGGGCAGAGATGAGGTATTCGGAGATCGAGAGGTATGCTTCGGCTGTGGTTGTAACTGCTCGAAGGTTGAGACCTTATTTCCTGAATCATAAGGTGAAGGTGCGAATAAACATGCCGCTAGGAGAAACACTTGGCCGACCATCGGTCTCTGTCGATTGGTGAAATGGGTAGTCGAGTTGAGTGAGTATTCTTTGTTGTATGAACCAAGGAGGGCCATAAAGGCGCAGTTGTTTGCCGATTTTATCCAGGAAGGCACGAAAGTTGAGGAGAAGTCAGGAGGAATAGGGCAGTTGTTTGTGGATGGATCAGTGGCACGAAGCGGGGCAAGATTGGGAATTGTCCTTGTCTCTCCCAAGGGCGATTACTTGGAATTTGCGGCTAAAGTGGGGTTCAAGATATCCAACAATGAGGCCGAGTATGAGGCAGTGATCAAAGGCTTGAGTTTAGCCAAAGCAGGAGGAGCCCGAAAGTTACAAGTTCATTCTGACTCTCAGCTGGTGGTCGGGCAGTTTCAGGAGGGGTTTGAAATTAAGGAGGACCGGATGCAAAAATATGTGGATGAAATGAGGAAGTTGAAAGAGGATTTTGATTCGTTCGAGTTGATACAGATCCCTCGAGGAGAAAATGGCCGGGCGGACCTGTTATCGAAAATTGCTCAAAGTTTGGTGGATTGTAGGAGCAGAAGTGTCACCTTATTGCATCTCGAAAAGAGTGTGGTAGAAGCAGAAGTGGCGGAGATTGAGGAGGTGGAGGATTGGAGGGCCCCGATCTTAGAGGAGCTGAAAGGGGGAACGATAAAGGCGATGAGGAGATTTTTTGAACATGGAGGCATTCTTTACAAACGGTCGTATGCGGGACCGCATTTGCATTGTGTTACTAAGGAGGAAGGTCGATATGTGCTGAGAGAGATGCACGAGGGATGCTGCAGTGATCATAGTAAGTCAGGGGCCTTGGATGCAAAGATTTTGAGGGCAAGATATTTTTGGCCGACGATGAGGGAAGATGCGAAGGTGATGGTGAAGAAATGCTTCCAATGCCAAAAGCACGACCCCCTTATTCACCAACCGGCAGAAGCAATGACGACGATGGGTGCCCTTATACCATTCGCCCAGTGGGGTATCGACCTGGTGGGGCCAATGCCTCAGGGAACGGGGCAGAGAAAGTTCTTGATAGTGGCGGTTGATTATTTCACAAAGTGGGTGGAGGCCGAACCCTTGGCGAAGATTACCGAGGAGAAAGTAATTAAATTTCTATACAACAACATTTGCTGCCGATTTGGCGTGCCCAAAGTGTTGATTTACGAAAATGTTACCCAGTTCAATGGTAAGCGGATTCGAGCATGGTGTGAAGACATGAAAACCGAGCAACACTTTCTCATCCGCAAGCCAATGGCCAGGTTGAGGTAACCAACCGAATTATACGGAATGGGCTGAAAACAAAGCTGGAAAAGGCCTCGGGAGCATGGGTCGATGAGTTGAGCTTGGTACTTTGGGCGTATCGCACAACCCCGAGGTCGACAACAGGAGAAACCCCTTTCAGTTTAGCTTATGGAATGGAAGCATTGCTGCCGGTCGAGGTCGAGCTATCATCCCAGAGGTCGAGCACATATAATACTGAGCAGAACGAGGATCTAATGATGGCAGCCCTGGACACTATTGAGGAGCTGCGTGGAAGAGCAGCAATCAAGGTGGAGGCGTACAAACAGAGGATGCGAGCCGCTCATGGCAAAAAGGTAAAAATTCGCAGACTCCAAGTAGGCGACCTGGTTTGGAAACGCGTCGACGTGCTCAAACATGTGGGAAAGCTGGAGCCGAATTGGGAAGGGCCATACCTGGTCGAGCGAGTGCACGCAGGAGGAGCGTACTCGCTGAAGGATGCTGAAGGCCGATCACTTGCCAGGTCATGGAACATAGCTAATTTGAAAAAATATTATGTGTGAAAATTTTTTGTTTTTTTTTAAGAAAGCTAGAAAACTCGAACAAAGATGTAAATTGCAAAGTTTGCTCAAAAGTCAATGAAGTTCAGTGATTCTTCTGATTTTACTCGCGTTATTGCACATTTTCTTATGCTTGGAATGTTGGTATAATTTGGATGAAAGGATGTATGTGGTGTGGTTTGACTTGGAAGTCACTTGTTTAGAACATCACTTGGGGTGGGCAGGTTGGTCGAAGACCTCCTGTTTAGAACATTCCTCGCGGGTGGGCAAGTGTGAAGACCAAAACCCAACATGACTAAGGCCCTCGGGCTGGGTGGTCACTTGTTTAGAACATCACTTGGGGTGGGCAGATTGGTCGAAGACCTCCTGTTTAGAACATTCCTCGCGGGTGGGCAAGTGTGAAGACCAAAACCCACCATGACTAAGGCCCTCGGGCTAGGTGGTCACTTGTTTAGAACATCACTTGGGGTGGGCAGGTTTGTAACACCCCACTTGAATTTAAAGAAATTATCGGATTTTTCAAAAACCAGAATA